AGCTAAAACCAAGGTAAAATGATGAAAAACTCTTTTGCCAATAAAATTCCTAACAACAACATCCACACAAAGCCTACCACTCCGTTTGCCTTCAGCTACCTGGACTTTATTTCCAGGACAACACAACTCCAGTGCTGCTGGAATAGCCAAAACCAAATTTTGCCAAATAATTGATCATCACACAGAAGTGGGAAAGACACAGCATTTAGCAAATTGCCTCCACTTTATTGCTATATTTTTTGTGCTGTATATATCTCAGGAGGGAAAAAAAAGGTTGTTTGAGTATTGCTGAAGATAAAAGAGTGTCTGGATCACCAGGCACACTGACAGCCTGTGCTGGGGAACAGCCTCTTATTAAAGCATGGAAAGCATGAAAACACCTACAACAAAAGCAGTTCAAACCAGACCAAAAGAATTGTGAAGAGTCTTTGATCAGTACATACAATAAACCACAATTTTCTTTCTATTGTACACATGATATTCCATAGTTACAAGATAACACGTTCATATTGTAAAAATAATGGGGTTTTTTCTTGAAACAATATTTGGCTCCTCTTGGAGGATGCTCAGTAAATGCCATCTTGCATTTCTTCCCATGTGTCTGATACTTTCAAGTCTAATAATACGATAATGCTCAGTTCAAAGAGGTTTTAATGTGTATTTAAAGCCAGTGAAAGTCCTTTTAATATGGTGTACTCACTCGCTGAGGGACAGCAGCATTCCAGGGCAGCAGCTCTGCATCCCAAACCCCAGCAAGCAAACAGGGATGGCAGCAACTGCAGCCTTTCCTGACCAAAGCTCACCTTCCCAACCCCACAAAGTGATTTGGGAGCCTGTGTCCCTTCATGGATGAGTATTAAACATGGAATCAATATTTCCTTTGCATTTACGAATCACTTGAGCATCCCCTGGACACCCTTCTGCCACCAAAACACAGGGAGCTGGTGCTCAGGCCCATTCCCATTAGGAGTCCCTTCAGAGCATCCCATTGTTGCATGACTGTCAAAAAAAACTTTTATTTGGGTACACAGACAATTGTTTAGGCAATTCCCCATACTGGTTTGCACTGCAGAGAGAACTGAGCAGAGCTGTGCCACCAATGCTGAGTTACAACAGAATTCAACCAAATTCTGTCTAAGAAGCACATACAGTTTGCTTATACTTAAATAAGTATATTTACCTGTATTTACCTTCTATTTACCAGGGCCAGGAGGTGCAGTGCTGCTGAGTTAAAGCTCTGCATAGGGCACAGACAGAGCCTCCATGAATTTGCTCCTAAAAACCCCAGAGTGGAGAGAGAAGTGATGTCCTGAATAAAAACCCTGGGGTACCAGCCAAGAGACATCCCAAGGACTAATCCACGCTCTCAGGGGGCTGCTGGACCACAGGAAGATGACTCTGCCCATGCCAGGGGCTGGAACCAGATGGTCTTTATCCCTTTAAGGTCCCTTCAAGCCAAAACACTCAGTGATTCTGCGATTTTTCTTTTCCTGATATGGTTCCTCATTGTTGCTTACACACAATACTGATATATTCAAGCACTCATTAGACTTACATCCTGATTAGTTAAGGTGCTCACAACACAGAGGAGCAGATGACCAAATTTTCATTTCGTTTTCATGCACAGCTGTGTCCCTCTGTGGCTCTGAGCAAACACGGTCACAGCTCCTCCTCAGTTCAGCCAACACCACTAAGCCAGGAGCAATATTTAAGAAGCAGCACTCTAAATTAAAAATCCTGTTGGTTGTGTTAGTTCGTGGAATTAGAAGCATTAACAGCAAACAGAATTACAGTATTAGGAAGAGCTGGATGAGAGAACTTTTCATCCTAACCTGTGAATTCCTTCATGCAGCTCACAGCCCAGGTTAAAGCCTTTCTCCAGGATCAGCAAAAGCTGCAGGAATGTGATGGGGATCCCTCACACCTCCACCAACACAGCGTGTCTCTGGCAACAATTTGGGCCACCAAGAGCTACTGCACTTGATCTGTCCTTTATCTTGCCATTTGTAAGTTCACCAAACAAATTGAAGACACTGCATGAGCACAAGTCTCCAAACAGGATCAGCAGATGAATAAAAATGATATCATCTCCATGCAGCGTTTTTAGAAAAAACAGCTCAAGAATCTCCTGGTTTATGTCCAGACGCTCTGACACATGTTGCCTGATCTTCTAACAAATCCAAATTTCAGTGAAATGCAAAAACAGTAATAACTTTCCGGAGCATGAGGAGGCAGGAGTACAAATATGATGAGGGAAAAACCACAAAGTGGAGGGGGCAGAGGCAGACTGAGCTCTGCAAGCTGCAAACTGACACAAAATGCTAAGCTTGAGCAAGTCAGAGACATCTCATTAAATCCTTTGGGATGACTAAGGCCTATTTCAGTGTTTTCTTAATCTTAAAACAGAGTTTGTAGACAGGCTGCAAAAACCACCTCGTGTTTTTGGTGGCTCCACATTATTACAGCCCATAGAAGTAACTTCTGCTTCTTTTTATAGAGATATTGTGTGTCAGACACAGAATTACAAAATCAAAGCGAATTTTTATGCCTATATACCACCAGTAGAACAACCGGATCCCTGTATTCTCCTCCTCTCTGATCACCCCACTAAAAATAAAATTTTATTTTATATAAAGCTGATTAGCAGAGCTAAGCTCTTGTTCAAAGGAGTGTTTGATGTCCAGTGAGTCGTACAAACATTGCTGGCAAATTTTGTGCATGTCAGCATGAGCAGCTATTAAATGTATATCTTAAGATTAGAATTCTGTGTTTTTTCCAATAAAACCAATTTCTTGACAAGGGGCAGGAGCTCCATGAACTCCATGACCATCAAATCCATTAAACTCTGCCTCACCACACAAGTGGGAATAACTGACTACAACAACACTGAAGTCTAAGGAAATATAGATTTATAAGCTTGGTCCACATTTAAACACACAGGAGCAGAATTGAGAGATTAAGTTTAGAGATTAAATATTTCCAGGAACTTTAGGAATGAAAACAGCACCGTTGTGACCTAGCAAGCTTGCCAAGAACTTCTAGCATTATTCGGAAATACAAAAACACCAAAGGTATTAAATGCACTAAACCCCACCAATTAGAGGTCTTTAAGCAATTAAGAGTTTATTAAACAGAGTTCTCTAATAGGTTTAGAACAACGAAATTAATTGTTTGATGTTATGTTTCCCCACAAAAGACTGAACATGGGGGGCCTGACATGAAAGCCAGTCTGCCAGTCCACTGTTAAACAAAATATTTGGAGATCTCTGGACAGGATTTTTCCTACAGATCCTGCACAGATAATAATCCTGGAGCCCCTGCACTTGTGCTGCCTCCTGTCCTCCTGATACGACCCCACTGTCTTTGCTTCTCCAACTACCTTTGACAGAAATACATAAAAATACACCCCTGAAACACCTAACAGCATTCCCACTGGAAAAACGTGTGCAGGAGGTCAGTGTAATGTTTCCAAGGAAGCAGGAGGTTGGCCTCAATCCCTGCTTTTATTTTATCAAAAGAAGCAGCTGCTGAAGCTCCAGTTAAAAAGCAAATCTGAGAGCGTAACAAAATAATATTCCCAACAACGGCCCGAAGGTGAACGTGGCCACACAAATTTCTTGATGAGTCTGTGGGGATTATGCTCACTCAAAGTCTGTGGCTGGCAGAATACCAACTAATAGACTCTGTAACCATAAGGTTTTGGTCAACATTTGAATTTGCTTTCCTGGGAAAAAGATTTCTGCAGCAATACTTAAGTGTTGACATTTAACGCAGAAAATAAATGCAATCGCTCACTAGGAGAAAGCCAGAAGTCAGTTCTCACCTCAACATGAAAATGGGATGACCTTGAAATTCAGGAAATTTAATTTCGAACCAGGCTTTGTCATTTTGCATAACCTGGTTTCTAATTCTAGATTAATGATACAGACCGAATTCCCAAAGGACACTTCCATTCTCCATATACAACGTCATAATTCTCCAGCCTTGGAGAAGAATGACAACCAAAGAAAAGCTAGAAATGCCATCACCTCACTTTCATCAATTCACCTGTGGTGCTTTTAGTGTCTTCTGTGTTGCTCATAACATTATTAAAAATTAATAATAATTAAAAAATTTAAAAATTAAAAAAATAAAAATTAAAAAATTAAAAATAGTAAAAATTATTGCTTTGGTTTTAAATATTACTAGTAACTGCCTCCATCAACAAGCAAGGAAACAGGTATCTAAGCTTGAAATAAACTGGGGCACAAGCTCTGCCTTGAAACAAATTTTAGGGCATTTCCTACAAGCTGGAATCATAAAATGGCCAAAGCTGGAATGGACTTGAAAGTTCACCCAGTGCCACCCCAGCCATGGCAGGGACACCTTCTGTTATCCCAGGCTGCCCCAAGCCCATCCAGCCTGGCCTGGGACATTTCCAGGAGATCACACATCAACAAAGAAACAACAGAAGACAACTGCAACTCTAAATAATTAAATTACGCCTGCAAAGAACACATGGGATTGTAGGCAGAAAAAAATTTTCTTACCTTGATATCTTTAGGCAAGTTAAATCTTTAGCTAGAAGTGTCCTCCTCCATTCACTGCAAGTCCTGGAAGACAAAGAAATGCAGCAGAATTTAGTGGCATCTTCACACACAGAGCTACAATAATCCCATCCCAGGAATTAACCCACAACTTTTCCAGAGGATTACTGTGTAAGCATCAGGCAGACCCCACTCTTCATCCTTACACTTAAAAAGCGAATGCTCCTGCTTTTAAATTGCCGTTAATCAATGCTAATTTTGGTCACCTGCCTCTTCCTTCTCACCACTTTTCAAATGGGAAGAGAAAAAAAGCAAATATACTGCCCTTTGACACACATCATATAATACATGATTTAACAAGTATATTTCCCTTCATCCTACCAAGTTCTGCTAAAAGCCTACAACCTCCCCACCATGTTTTTTTTTAAATTCAACCCTTAAATAAACATAATTCCCAAGACAGATCCAGCACTAAATCAAGGGTTCAGTACTTGGCCCTTTGCTCTGTCATCACGTACTTAGAACACGAAGTTCATCAACGAAAAGCCACAAGAAACAGATCTTGCCACTTACTGAAAAAGACGACAGCAGCTATTTTATTCCCAGCCTGTGTTTTATTTGTGCTGACGATATTGCATTACAGCCTTCACCAATCTATTGTTTTAGAAATCTCATTTGAGAACCAGCAAGGAAATAGAGACACATTTCATTTGTCACCCAACCAACAAACAAAAAGGAATCAAAAGTAAATTGAGGCCACCCTGTATTTGCAAAGTAAAGTGTTCAACTGCATCAGTCAGGTGTTTTGTTCTCCTGCAAGAGAAGTCATTGACAGCTTTACTTGGGATTCATGGTGCTCCCAGAGCTCTAACAGCAACTTCTCCTATGGCCTTAGATTAATACTTTTGCATGTAAAACTAAAACATTCTATAAATTAATCTAAAAACCCCTATTTTGTTTCTCAGGGCTGCCAATTACCTCCCTGCTTTCAATTTCTCATTTCTCTGGGAAAAGAAATGAAGAGTTAGCAACCAGCACAGCCTTTCCATGGGAGCAGGGAGGTTTCCTTCAGCCAAGCAAGGAAAGAGCTCCCAAGGAAACTCATCCTGCAGGACTAAGGGGAAACATTTATGGGAGGAATGTCAGAGACCCCAGGTCCCACACAAAACCTTAGAATGGGCTCTGTCCCATTCTGCTGCTTTGTCAGAGGATGCTCCTCCTTCCAATTCCCCTCCTGGCCTGTACAAACTGTGTCCCAAATCTCCTGAAGGCCCAAGCATTCAGCCTTTGGCAGAAGCTGTCTGCTCAGAAAGGCTCAGCCACTGTCGGATCTCAGGATCTGAGTCCTGAGGTGCTGAGCCACCGAGACCACCCTTGGGGGGCTCGGGAGTCCTGGAATGTTCCAGAAGTGTCTGGTGGCTGGACTTTGGTCCTACACAGGAGACGACAAGGATGAGGGCCTCACCGGGGTGAATGGTGAAGGGATTAGTTAATTAGAGGGTGAGACACAGGGTTTAGGATTTCTGTACAGGGGGGTTTAGAGAAGTAAGATGGAGGAATTGGGGCGTGTCCTGTCCTCCTTCTTCTTCTTCTCTCTCCATCTTCTTTGGTGATGGTGGCACTTTTGGATTGGTTATTACTGAGAGTGCACCAAGTAATAAGAATAAATGGTATTGGGGAAAAATGATAAATATTGTACACGTAACAAAGGGAATAAAGATACGTGGCTGCCCCGGAGGGCAGACAGTGTGCCCATGGCTGACTGCTGAGCAGAGCTCTGTTCGGCTGAAAGAACATCTTTTAGATAAACAATTAATAAACATAAAAACCGAAAGAAGAACTGAAGCCTCTTCTCGTCCTTCGATACGCGGCTGCCCCAAGGCCACCCCGGGCCTTTCCAGGCCCTTCAAACAGCCGAGATAACCGGACAAGCCACAAATCCTTCAGTGCCCAGTCACAGGGAGCACAAGACCAGCATGGAACCCAAACCCAAACCGGCGCAGATCGAGCAAGGCTTTTATCAGATATCACTTCACGTGATTTAAGTCCCTAGAGAGGGTTTTTGTGTGACAGAACAAGGGGAGAGTGGCCTTCAGGTGAAGGAGGGCAGGGTTAAATCAAATATTGGGCAGAAATTGTCTCCTGTGAGGGTGGGCAGGCCCTGGCACAGGGTGCCCAGAGCAGCTGTGGCCGCCCCATCCCTGGAAATGTCCAAAGCCAGGATGGACATCAAGAGCAACATGGTCTAGTAAAAGCTGTCCCTGCCCATGGTTTGGTGTGAAACTGGATGAACTTCAAGGTCCATTTCACCCCAAACCATTCTGGGATTCTATGATTCTAAAAAAAACCCCTTTATTCCTTAGATCCTAAATATAGACAAAAGGAAAAACAGATCTTAAAATAAATATCTGGCCTTCTCCACAATTCTTTTAAACAGTCCAAATCTGGGTACTTGCAAACATCTCAGGTGAGTGAGTAATTTTTTTTTTCAAAAGAAGCAACGTTACAATTTTTGGAAAACTGAAAACACCCGCGGAATAACTAAAAATAAATCCTTATAAATGTTTCGGCGTGCTGCCATCTATCTTCTTAACAGAGCTCTGAACGTGATACCCTGTAAAACAAAGAGCAGGAATGGCCTGTGCTGTGTGAGCTGCAGACAAACACTTCCAAGCCATCAGGAACTCCCCATCTGCATTCCATGGGCAGATCCAGTGAGTCTGCTTTGCACTGAGCTTTTAAACAGCACAGCTTTTATCTGCTCACAGGGTTGCATTAAAAATCTTTATGTGAATGCAGCAGATATTAGTGGGTTGTCAATAAAACCTGAGTGTCATTAAAGCGCTTTAATTCTTTAAATGCCGTTAACCCTCTAATTATATTTGTAAATTCTGCTGTTGAACTGTAAGGAAGTTATGAATTCTGACATGTTGTATCACAACAAATACATTTAGAGACTAATACACAAACAGCTTTGGTGGCAGAGAATCACTTTTAGAATCATTCCCTCTTGATTAAACACACAAATCACCAACTAGCACATGTTGGAGCTGCAGTATTTCCCTGCCAGGCTAAAATCCATGAAGGAAAAAATAAAAATTAAAGCTTAAGGATTCGAGGCAGAAACCAGAAAAGCTGCCTCCATGGAAACTTGACTACATAGTCAGAAATCACACCAGAATGTTTGATTTCACAGCAACAAGTTTGAGAAAATGTCTTGAGATATCTTGAGCTGAATACCACTCATGCTATATTTGAAAATATTGAACATTAGTACTGAGAAACATCCAAATAAAAGGCTGAACTAAGACTAATTTTCTATTCATACTCGAGTAAACAAAGGAATCTTTTCCCCCTCAATCCAAGCAAGCAGGTAAAATAAAAATTCACAGCAATTTTGAAAAGCTAATTGAATCTGAAGCCTCTGGAGCAAACACAAGCAAAGGTCACATGTATCCTGATCTCAACAGTTTAATTATATTTTCCCAGAGAAATTAGCAACTTACTCATACTTTTATCAACAGAACATTAATACACAGACATTAAACACAATGGCCATCTGTCTTTGAAAACCAAAACTACCCCAATGATCAGAACATGCTGCTCAACCAGTCCTGCTGGAAAGCAAAGGCTTTAAAATGCTCTCATGAATAGGGATTTCCATCTTTAAATGCAGTTATTTTTCTAGTTTTGGCTGTCAGATGCACCAGCTGGTATAAATTGAGCAAGCCTGGATGGTGTTCTAAAATCAAATCAAATCACAGTTGAAATTCTTTGCACATATATACATGCTGGAAACAAAATACATGCTGACTAAAAATAATCTTGATTTCAGTTCTAACTTGCATAAATTAATTTTTAAGCAAAATGCGGGTTTTAATGATGTCTGTCATGTAACAAATCAAAGATCAGGAAAATGACAGCATTCTTTAAATTATTGTCATGTAACTACGACTGACCCAATTTTACTGGGGACTAATCTGGAAAAAAAGTCTCATGTTTCCATCTTGGCAAAGAGTTTGTCTTTTTAACCTCATATTCTCTAATTAAAAGTAAGATTTGAATCATATGTTGCCATGCATAATGACTGCACTTACACAGTTCATTACACAGGAAAGCAGACCATTGATAAATCAAGAATTCCACAAATAAAACCATACAACATAACACTCCAGTCCAGAATTAGATACCTCTTGGCTGATTTTCAAAAGTATTAAACAAGCATCCACTCTACCATATTTTAAGGTTGGCAACAGTTTCTTCATGATCATCACTCTAAATAACTACGGGAAAGCATCCAGACCTCAATGGAATAATGAAAAAAAAAATTTAAAAATCAGAAAACTGACCATGATTTGAATTAAGATTTTTTTTGCTTATCACGTATGCCTTAAAAAAAACCCCACCCTGTGTGTTAAATGTAGACGACATCCACATTCTGCTCTTCCCAACTCAGACTCCTGCTTTTATATTGCAATTATAAGGAGCTCCCATTTTATTTTCTGCTCACAAATAGTTCCAGCCTATTCATGAAGGATTTGCATTTTTCAGCATCTTAATCACGTCTATCAAAATTTACAAACTCATCTATTTACCATCTTTTCCCCAGCAATTTGGGGGGCAGGAGCTGTTGCTGCTTTATGGTACCTGGTGGTCCCCAGCCCTCCCCTCTCATATTTTCACACTCTAATTAACATCTTATTTTAATAACTCTGGCAGACAGAGACTGTTGGAGCCATGTAGGAGTTTGTGGTGGTGCCACAGCAGAAAGGAGCAATAAATAAGTAAGTGTAAGTCTTGGGTCATGCTACTCTTACTAGCAAATCTGCTCGATGGCTTTAGAGAGAGAACAAGTGTGAGTGAGTGTTGTTGATTATCCCTTGACTGGTTTTCATTTCAAGTATTCCAATACTGTAGGCTCCAGAAGGAAAGCAAGCCAGTTATTTTTGTTGTTTTCCTTGGTTGTGTATGCTCCTCAATGCCAAGAAATGGACAGGATTTGGGTTTTGCCTCAGTGAATGATGATGTAAGTTATTGAGGATAATACATGCCTACATTTGCATTCC